CTCAGCGTGTTTTTCTTATTTAAAATAGACATTCGACATTAAAAATGTGATGTTGGATTCAGAGAAAAAAATGATGCAATGGTGGAAAATTTGAAATAAGTCCTGAAGACTTACAAACACAGTATAAAGTGCTTTTAGCATTTTGAAAATGGGTGTCTTAGGTTTCAGCAAATGTTGCAGAAAATACATTTTTAAAATGTGTGTGTGTGTGTGTGTGTGTGAGAGAGAGAGAGAGAGAGAGAGAGAGAGAGAGAGAGAGAGAGAGAGAACCTGTGGAAGTCAGAGGACAACTTTAGAGAGTCAGCTCTCACACTCCATCTTGTTGAGGCAGGGTCTTTTTTTTTTGCTGGTGTGCTGTGCCCTCCAGGGTCGCTGGCCTATGGCATTCTGTCCAATTCTGTCTCTGCCTCCCATCTTCCTGTAAGAGTGCTGGAATTTCAGTTCAGGCTTTTTACATGGGTTCCAGGGATAGAATCTGTGTCATCAGGCTTCCTTTAGCTGATGAGCTATTTCCTCATCCCAGAAAATTCATTAAAAACAATTAGTTATTAAAATTATTTCTTGTTGAAACTAAAGTATTTGGGAGCTTATATCTAATCCTTAAAAGATTTTAGGCTTACCTCTTCAGAGGGGGGAATGTTAGAGGGGAGGGAGTGGGCATGGATTTGATCAAAATACCTTATATGCATGTATGAAATTTTTGATAAAGTTTTTGTAAAAGTTAAAAAAAATTAAGAAGAAAGAGTAAAAAAAATTATTATTGGCTATAGACTATCGTACAGAGCTAGGTAATTTGCTAGTTCTAAAACTGATTTCATTGAATCTTTACATAAGTTCTACATGTAAGTAGTAACACCAGGACAATTAATTGAAAGAGAGCTAAGAAAATACCACAGAGTTCACACATTATGGGAATCAGTACAAATCTTTCAATAATAACTCTTACTATTAATGGTCTCAGTTTTTCTCAAAAGGACACAGACTGGCAGATTGGATTAAAAAAACAGGATCCATCTTTTTGCTGCCTCCAAGAAACCCACCTCACCATTAAAGGATGGGTAAAGGTATTTCAAGCAAATGGAGCCAAGAAACAAGCAGGTGAGGACACTCCGACATCTCACAAAATAGATTCCAAACCAAAAATAGTCGAGAGAGATAAGAGAAATCACTTGATACTCACCGGAGGAACAAGCCACCCCGAAAACACTATAATTCTAAACATATACAATACAACTGCATCCAATTTCATCAAATACTACCACCAGATGTAAAGCCACAGATTAACCCCAACACAGTGATACTGGGAGAGAGTCATCTGGACAAAACCTAACTAGAGAAACATTGGCATTAAATAACATCATAAACCAAATGGACTGAACAGACATCTAACACTCCAGCAAAACAATAAAGAATACACATTCTTCTCAGTAGTCTGTGGAACTCTCCTCAAAATTGATCACATAATAGGACATAATGCGAGTGTCAACACATACAGGAAAACTGAGATAACATTTTGTATTCTGACCACAGAGGAATGAAGCCAGATAAACTGACTGACTAAGATTAGCTAACTAGGGACTGGAGAGATGGCTCAGTGGTTAAGAGCACTGACTGCGCTTGCAGAGGATCTGGATTCAGTTGCCAGCACCCACATGGCGATTAACAACCATCCATAACTCCAGTTCCAGGGGATCCTACACCCCCTTCTGACCTCCATGGGCATTGCATGATGTGGATGTAATTACATACACTCATGCACATAAAATAATAATAAATAATTTTTTTAAAAAAGATCAGCTACCCAGCAACATTTTAAATACAGGGATTCTGTACATTTTCTTGTCTGTCTTTGGTTGTCTGAAAGATACTTTCAAATTCACCACAGGTATAAAGTCTTTAGATGAGCAGGGCTAAGTTTGCATGAAACATTGTTAAAGTAAGAGATGAAGGCGCCTGTGCTTTGCCTCTCTCCCTGGACTTTCTCTTAAGATTCTTTCAAAGAAGACCTAGGCCTGAATCTGATCTCTAGTTTACCTTATGACACTAAAACACAACACTATAAAAATGCCAGGAAAAGGACCCATGAGAGGGCTCAGTGGGTGAAGGCTCTTGCCACCAAGTTTGATGACCTGAGTTCTATCTCCAGGACTCAGCCAGTGTTCTTAACCACTGAGCCATCTCTTCAGCCCCATGATAAACTATTAAATGCCAGAAAGAAGTACGGTAAAGAACTGCAATGCAAAAAGACAGTGTCATTCCAAGAAAACTGGTATTATTTCTCTAAAGTTGAACATGTTTGTGTGTTTCCCTAGTAGATTCATCTTGTCCTCTACTGAAATTAAGGACAAAGTTCAGGAGCACCTGTTTCCCAAACCTGAAGACTAATGACCATGACAGACTGCTGCTGTGTTTTGTTTGATTTAACATGCTATATGTTTATTTTCAAGCAAACATGTATTCATGGAATTATTTGTGCTTCATATCTTAGGGTTACTGAAATTTTTTTTGCTCATAAAGCTCTTTGTACATTTCTGTGAATTTGAACAAAAAAATAGAGATTCTGACAACAGAAAGGTGTTGGTTTATGGAAATAAGTTTTGAATAGCAGGCCACCTTTATATATCTGAGTATACTACCTTTTTAAAAATTATACAAAGGTTTTTTTAATTGAATTCTAGTTAGAATTCCTATTAATAATAAGCTATTCTACAAACCAGTGTGAAGGTGTTACATTTATACATATATACTTAATTAAATTTATTCTTTGACAGTTTCCTACATGTACATAAAGATTTCTGGCTCCACCCATCCCTCACCTCTTCTGACATTCTTTACCCTTTTAACCTGCTATCTCTCTACAAGTTCTCTTTTAGCATTTATGTCTTTTTGTTTTGTGACCAACTAAACTTAACCTTGGCTGTCTGTGTGACCATGGATGTGGAACTATCCATTGGAGCCTGGTGGGCTCACCATTGAGTGCACAGCTCAAGATAGTAACTTCCCCTCCGCCAGCATCTATCCACAGCCAATAGTTCCCCAGGGAGGGCTGTGGTCCCCATGAGCCTCTCCTTCATCCAAGACTGTTGACAAGCTCAGTGTTGTGTAGGCAACCACAGCTACTGTGGGTTCATGATTGTGGATTCAGTTCATGATAATTACTTATTTCAATGAATAATATGTCTTTGCTGATTATTTGAACCAACAAGTCCACTTACGGCCAACATAACTATTTTCAGTGCCATGCTAACCTTACACTGAAGGAATTTGTTTCAATTTAATTTTAAGAGTAGATACTGAAAATAAAGCAGGGACTGGGGCATAGGTCTGCGGTGTACATGGGTCTGCGGTGTACATGGGTCTGCGGTGTACATGGGTCTGCAGTGTACATGGGTCTGTGGTGTACATGGGTCTGCAGTGTACATGGGTCTGTGGTGTACATGGGTCTGCAGTGTACATGGGTCTGTGGTGTACATGGGTCTGCGGTGTACATGGGTCTGTGGTGTACATGGGTCTGAGGTGTACATGGGTCTGTGGTTTACATGGGTCTGCAGTGTACATGGGTCTGAGGTGTACATGGGTCTGCAGTGTACATGGGTCTGTGGTGTACATGGGTCTGCAGTGTACATGGGTCTGAGGTGTACATGGGTCTGCGGTGTACATGGGTCTGTGGTGTACATGGGTCTGTGGTGTACATACAGCACTGCAAGGCTGGGGTTCTATTCCCAGCATCTCAAAAGGTTTAGGGTCAGGGTTGTGGCTCAGTGGCAGATGGCAGTGTCTTGTATAGTATGCAAAGGGCTTTAAGTTTTACCCCAGAACTGAACTATAGTAAAATCAAATATATATATACACATATATATATGTATATATGGTTACAAACAGTTGTTAGCTGCCATGTGGGTGCTGGGATTTGAACCTGGGTCTTCTGCAAGAACAACCAGTGTCCTTAACCACTCAGCCATCTCTCCAGCCCCAGTAAAAGCAAATATTTTAAAAGTGAATTTAAGCCCTTAATCACTTTTAAATTTTATTTAGCCATGAGGGCCTCCATATGTACTGCATGTTAAAAGATGGAGAGGATTTCACTCTAACCTCTCCCCGCACCCCGGTGCATGCTTGGGTATATGCAGCGCACAGGTGCACACACCTATGTGCACAGACGTGGAGGGCAGAGTCAATGTTAGGTGTCTTCCGCTATCACTCCCCACCTTACTTTTTGAAGCGGGGTCTCTCTCTGAATCTGGAGTTTGAAGATTCATCCAGACTGGCTGTCCCTGAGCTCCAGAGATCGGCCATCTCTGCCTCTCCAGCTCTGGGAGTACCTCATACAGCTTTTGCACATGGGTTCTGGGGATGAGAATCTGGCCCTCATGGTCCATGGCTCATGCTTTACCATCTGTCTTTCCAGCCATTCCTTCTAATCTTCACAGTGTCCATTTGGTGAGAATTCTACCCAAGGACGATATTTATATCAGAATGTAATCGGGTGTTGACTCTCCAAGGCAATTTAGTGATGACTATTGGCTCAGTGGAGGATTTCAGAGCAAAGGTGACAGTTGCCATCGCTGCTCATCTCACTGGGCTCATGTTGAGAGCAGACCACTGTCTCCAAATCCTCTATTCGCTGGTGCCATGTAGAAAAGAACCACCCTGGGCCAGTGAGTCAATCCCAGGGTCCTGTAGTAATGAATGCTCAAGGTGATTGTAACCTGTGACTTGCCTCATGTATGTGTGAGCAAAAGAGAGGGTTTTAGACCTGTACTTCAAAAGCACACTATTTTGATAGAAAGGCATATGTATGTATTGAGACATATTTCTATATGTAGATATGCACATATGTGTAGCATAGTCATACACTTATACACTTACAAGTGTGTTTGGATTGCTCCATTCATTATTATTTTATCTACAAGGAGGCTATGATCACAAACACACATACACACGAGAGAGAGAGAGAGAGAGAGAGAGAGAGAGAGAGAGAGAGAGAGAATTTTCTTTACCTGGTGGTGGCCAAGCTATGAATATGGAATCAGGCCCCAGCACTGTGAGGTTACAAGAGGGACGGACATCTTCTGGGGTCCACATGGGCATCTGGACAATGTGACCGTCACTCGTGCCACTGCCTCCCCCAGTTTGAACATCTAACTTGTAAATGCACCTAAAGGAGAAAAAGTCATGATACATCCGTCTCCGAGCGACTCGGACAGCGATCGCTGGCTTTCTGACTCATCCCCTTGTCCTAAGTTTGTGACCATTTGTACACTTTTTGTGCTCTGTCCAGAAACTTTACCATGAACTTGGTCATTTTTCTAGTACAGGTGGAGTTCTTGCTAAAACATCTCACCTCCGTTTCTATTTCTATAGCCATCCATAGCTTTTCTGGAAGGTTTGAGGAATGTCCTGGAGTGTGCTGGTGCATTGTGAAAATTCATTGTAGTCTTCTTTATATTTAAATGGGTTGAATTTCAGGGAGATTCATTTAGAGGAAGAGATTTTTAAATTGATCTGTTATTTTCTGCAATAGAACTAAATTATTCTTTACCCTCTGCACTAAAACATCTGTTGATGTAAGATATGTTTTCTGTCTGCTTAGAAATGAAGAGAAATGAAATGCAGATATGTGGAGCTCCCTACAAAACTGTTCTTGTAGACGCAGAGTAGCAAGTAGAGGGAACTTAAGAAGAAATGATCAATGATAGGAAATCAAGTCTTTCCACCTGCTCTTATTGCTAATATATGCATTTTATGCATCACTTGATAATTTTAAAGTTGGAAACTTTATTTTACATGTTTAAATTTCTCATGTCAAATAGGGGATGAATTATTTATATTTTAAAGGGATTTCATGTAGTCTGAAAACTAACAATGATTTAGTACTTTCATCTGTTACAGAGCAGCTAACGAATAAGGAGATTAATTCATAATTGAACAATATTTCAGTGGGATGTATTCTTTCTCAACCTTGAACAACTTAGAAAGTTTACGGCGCGGTTGGCAAAGTTTCACCCAGTTACCTGCTGCTGGGCTCCAGGTTTTTATTGGTGAAATTCTGTATATCACTGCCACCCACGAAAAGCAAACTTCCATTATGACTGAGCTGATATTGAGAAATGAGGCCGTTGGGCTTTGCTGGAGGATTCCAATATAATTCCACGGTGGTAGAATTGATGATAATGTGTCGAGGTGTCACCCAAACTCCTGGCAAAAATGACACAATGCGGTTTTGTTGTAGTAATAAAATATACACCCTGTGAAAAGGCACCCCTTCCCCAAACCAGCAGACTCCTACCTGTTTATTAAAACAATCTCACTGTGGAAATACAAGAGTATATTTTCTTTACTTTGCAGATGAAATACATAACTAGGCATAAATATAATTTCCTATTGTCTTATTTTATTTTTAAATGTCCGATCACTAGTGGTTGAAAGTTCCTGAATCTTGATCACTGCTCTGAGTGTAATTTTATGAAGGTCTGAAGAAAATCTAGGTATTTTAAACTCTGATACTATTCACTTGGGTTTTATGGAAGGAAATACAATTGGGTATTTATCTGAATCATACACTTCAAAAGAATTTCCTTTCTTCTCTCATACCTTGTGACAGGCTCGTTTTGAATCCTTTTTCCTGGCAACTTCTGATCTCATTTCCTGGTCTCTCGTCTTTACTGTAACTGAAAATGGTGGAGTGCCTCAAAGCCCAAGACACTGGCTTCTCTTACCTCTGCTTTGTCTCCTCTTCCCTCCTCCTCCTCCTCTTCCTCCTCTTCCTCCTTCTGACCCTCCTCCTCTTCCACTTCACCTCTTCCTCCTTCTCTTCCTCTTCCTCTTCCTCCTCCTCCTCCCTCTCCCCCTCCTCCTCCTCCTCCCCGAAACTCGCTTCCTGGTCTCTGCTCCCTCACATGTGCTGAAAGTTCCCTAATGCATATTTGATACTAACTCTCTCTCCTGGGCTTCGGGTTTCTGAATCCAACAGTTAACTTGGCATTCTCACTTGTGTAACTACTTACATGTCAAAAACTCAAAGCCCTCAAATTGGAACTCTTGGTTTTCCCATCTACAGTAATTTATCTCCAGTTTGTCCATTGGTTCATTTTCTTGGGCAAAATACACAAACATAATTACCCTAAGGCTTTTACCCCTGACCCCTCTATCATTCAGTCCCCCAGATTCTACTCTGCTCCCTGTGCCTCCACTGCCATCTCTCTGGTCCTGAACACAGCATTCTTTGATTCACCTCAGTCTCTTGCAGTGCTGGGGATTGAACCTAGAGTCTGTGTGCTGGGCAGGAGCACTACCACCGAGCCGCATCTACAGCCATGTCTGACTCTTTTAAGCTGGTCTCTGTGTTTAATCTTTTGTTTTCTTGAGACAACCCTGAATTCCTTATGGTCCCATCTGGACTTCCCAAGAACTCGGACTAGAGGCGTGTGGCAGCACACCTGGTGGTGGTGCTGGTTTAACTCTTGATTGTTTCTATATTTTGAAACCCTTATGACACTGTGTATAATTCATATATATTAAGAAATATAGGGCTGGAGAGATGGCTCAGTGGTTAAGAGTGCTCACTTCTCTCGTAGAGGACCCAGGTTGGATTCCCAGAACCACCATGGTGGCTAAACGGTCAGTTCCAAGGAAATCTGACGCCCTCTTCTGACCTTCATGACATTGCAGGACACGGGTGCACTCACACGAATGCAGACAATATATTCATGTACATAAAAATAATAAAACATTTTTTAAGAGAAGAAATACATAGGTCCTCATGTTTCCGGCTTTGGTCTCTGTCACTCACCCTAACCCTAGCCCCTCCCTCATTTATGGACATTCATCCACACCAAACTTCTATCCTCAGACCGTGTCAAGTTCTTGATTGCTTCTGGGATGTGCAATTCATTACCACATTTGCTTCTTGCTTCATGATTTCTGAGTTTTATTTCTTCAGTCATGTGTGTAAATTTCTCTTTATCCACGCAGGCTTCTTGACCTGTACTCTCTTACTCCAGCCATTTCCAGAGGAATCCCAGCTTAAGTTTCTCTCGCACACCCCTTTCTAGTTCCCACATCACACTCAACATCACAACCATCTTCTTTCTTTGACATGTTGCTGTTCTGATGCTGTTACAACTAAAGAGTCCATCCACTCCTCTGCCTGATTTAAAGCAAAATTATTTCCACCAATGCAGGGATCTTATTTGTCAGCATGTGTCTATGGACAGCACACTGTCTAACAAATACATCCACTGGGAACAATCCCCTGAAGATGTTATACTAGACAGCCTAGGCCCTTAGTGCAAACAGGACCATAGTGTGGCTCATTATTTCAAAAACTGGACTCATTGCTATAAAGGATAAAATATACAACAACCATCATTCTAGGTCAATGTTCAGGTGCTCTTGCAGCTGTAGAGTTCTATCAGTGGAGATTCTGACAGTAAGAAAGACCAGCCCACATGGGCTGTTGATTAGTCAAGCTTTGAACAGACATCGCAGTTCCAGGGAGCTTCATCAAAGCTCATTACGTTGTATTAAGTTCCCTGTAATCAACAGCTTTGGGTTGATTCGGTCTCCTTTGCAAGTTACTCCATGAAGGGTAAGATTTTGACATTTTTCAAAGAAAAGTGTTCAGGATATTTAAATACAGTTTATTTAGCAGCACCCTGAAGAAAGGAAACTAGATAGATGTCAAAAAAGGCCTCAAACAACTGACATTCTAAAGAGCAACTTCTTCCCTAGAAGAAAGCCATCCATGTCTTTCTCCCTCCATTCTGCCAACAGCTTCTAGACAATTCAACCAATCATTTAGAATTCTGATTTAAACAGTACATGGATTTGTTGACTCCAAAGTTAAAGTTAAAGGTTTAATCTGCTTCTTCTAGTTCATCTTTCTGTCTTTGAGATACATGAAAAATTACCAAGGATGATGGGGGGGAGATGGCTCAGTGTGTAAGGCACTTGCCACACAAACAAGGGGACCAGAGTTTGGATCCTCAGCACCCACACAAATGCTGATGTAGCAATCCACCTGAAATCCTATCTCAAGGCAGAGTTGAGTTCCTGAAGAAAGCTAGTTAGCTTCATTAGCCAAATCTGCAAGATCTGGGTTCAAGTGAGAGACCATTCCTCAATGTATAAGGTACAAAAAAATTGGGAAGATACCCCAGTATCAATCCTGGCTGACAGACAGACAGACAGACAGACAGACAGACA